TTGTGTAGGAAACAGATTTGCATCTGATATAAAGAATTTTTTGGCCAAGCTTGCTTCCTGCTTCCTTTATTTTTTCAGTCATAAACTGCCAATACACCACTTATATTCCTTGCTATCTCAGCATCTCATCTATTTTCCTAGGTCCTCAGCTTATACACATCTTTTGGTCATTCCAAAAGATATTTCATTCCCATCTGTACATAAAACTAAGATTTCAAATGTCCAAGGCTCTCTGTCCAAATTTGTATTGCAAAGTTTTAAAACTTAAAACAATTTTCATCTGCTCTGTACAGCTTTAAAACCCTCCCTCCTCCACTCTCTATGTCTCATTTTCTCTCTCCACACACCCAGAGACATATTTCATATCAGTCTCAAAGCAGTGTGTTTTTACAAGGAGAGAAGGGGCCTCAAAGACAGAGCCAAATTTAGATTACATAAGAACAACTAGCCATTATTTCTTTCCCTAGAACATACTCAAGTGTAATTATGAAGGTATTTGCACGAAACATTTACATTTTGCATGTTTCAGTTATGTGTTATACTTTATTTATTTATTTATATTGTGAAAATACCGGACAGAGGGGTTACAATTACATGGGCAAGGTAATGAGTACATTTCTTAGCAAGTGTTGTTGCCTCCTCCTTTGGTATTTTATTGCTTATTGAATTTCACCCCTATTTTCAACTGCATTGTAACTATTCACATTGAAATTTCAACCTCTTTCACTTACTAAGCAGCTACAATGTAGGCTGTTCAAGTATCATATCTCTCAAGTTATCAGCCATAATATTATCTATGATAGCACCAGAGTAAAGTTTCTAAAATATAAGTCAGATAATTTTAGATATGTCAAACTGAAAATGATGAAGTTAAAATTTCTGTGTGTTAAGACAGACACTCACTATCCTGGGTAAAATGTAAATACAAACTGTTGCTGACAGTGTTTAATTAAGCAAACAGCAATATATATCAAAGAGGCTTTTAAATTAGAAGAGAGCCTTCGTTATCCATACCTCACAGTAATTTATTCTTAAAATATAAATTATTTAAAGAACATCACCATATTTCCTTTATTTATGTTGGAAAAAATTCCGTCTTCCAAAATAGATTGTGAGACACTTGCAAGCTGAGACTAGTTTTTGTAATTTTTTTCCCTCCCTATGTTTAATTCAGTGCCTGCACATACTGAATACTCAATGGATATTTGCTGGCTTAATATCTGTTTCATAATGGGAATGACAAGCAGAAAGACCCACATGAACAAATCAAGAAACAAAAAGAGATACCTATTCAACTCTACTCAGGCAGTTAACATATTCTTGCTTTATATAAGTTAGTATTATTGCTTATGAAAAGTGAAGTTCAAGCTAAGTGTTGTTGGCTCATACTACTAATCCTAATTACCTAAGTGGCTGATACATGGAAGGTCATGGTTTAAGGGCACCCTGGACAGAGAATTTCTGTGGACTTTATCTCCAAAATAATCCAGGGAGCTGGAGTTGGGAGGAACTGGTTAGAGGTAAAGATTCTTATAGTCAAACATGAACTGAGCAAATAGTGCAAAGCTCTACATTCAAAACCCAATGGTCAGATGGTCATATATCCATATGGTTATATGGTTATATGAACATAGCCAAGACATGGACACAAGAGGTTTTTCCTTGTTGTTGTAGTTTTTAAGGTACTATATGATTTCTTGTTTCTTTTGTATTCCCTCCCCATGAATAGTATATACATTTATCTGATTAAGGAAGGGAAGGGAAACAACTTGGTAAAACAAAGGTCAAAGGGGGATCCAATGCAACAGTGATACTCACAAGACAATATGTTGGAAATGATCTGTACAGTGGGGTGCAGGGTGGGGGGGGAGGGAAAGTGGGAGAAAAATGAGGGAGGTGGTAACAAGTTCCACAAGAAATGTACTCACAAACTTACTTATGTAATTCTAACCCACCTGTACATCACCTTTTCAATAAAATTAAAAAATAAATTTATGTAATCTAGCTACTCAGGAGGCTGAGATCTGAGGATCACGGTTCAAAGCCAGCCCGGGCAGGAAAATATGAGGGACTCTTGTGGCCAATAAACCACCAGAAAACAGGAAGTGGTGCTGTGGCTCAAGTGGTAGGGCCTTGAGCTGAAAAGTTGAGGGACAGTGCCCAGGCCCAGAGTTCAAGCCTCACGACCGACCGACAAAAAAAATAAAATAAAAAGATAAATAAATAAATATATTTTAAAAAAAAAACAACACCAAAAGCTATTAAAAGAAATCTCACAGAAGCCTTGAAATTTGGAATCTGGAATTTGAGTTCTCACTTTGCTCTCATTTCTGTAATTGTTACTCTGGCCAAATAATAGTAATATCACCAGATTTCTCTTTTCCTTAAAACCAGGAGTTGATTACCCAAGCTGATACTCCTCCATCATTATCCATGGTCCCAAATGGGACAATTTTTAAAACAGGCTTCCCTCTTGGTTGATAATGAGTATATTATCATAACCCATTTAATCAATGCACTTTACAAGAATGTTTTCCTGTTTCCAAATCAATTTTAAGATATGACATATTTGTATATAACTGTACTTTTTCTTTTAAATGCCTGAGGATTTTACTCTTTGATTTTTTTAAAGCCTAGAGAGGCTTTAAAATTTTATTTTAATTAATAATTGACTTAATAGAAAGTCAGGGAAATTTGTCTCAATGATGCTAAAAACTCATGGATCCAAGAAAAATTAATATATGTGCAGGTGGTGTTTAAAGGTTGAAATTTTGTATTTGGAAATTTATAGAAAGAAAACCTATTGAATGATAGAAAACGTATCAGATAGAGAAGATACTGTCTTTCATAACAATTATTCTTAATAATAGCTTTAACAATAATTTTTTAAAAATAATTTAAATGCCTACCACAGTACTCCACAGACATAAACTAGACTGCCAAACAGATTTATTTTCTTAAGATACTTTTGAATCAATTAGAAACATGCCTCTCCATTTATAAAATTGTATTTTTAATTTAATTGTATTGTTAAGGTGATGTACAGAAGGTTACAGTTATATACATAAGGTAATGAGTACATTTCTTGTCCAACATGGTTACCCCTCCCTCATTTTTCTCTCACTTTCCCTCCCCCCACTACCTTCCCACCCCAAGTAGTAAAGTTCATTTCCAACATATTGTATTGTGGGTATCATTGTTGCATTGGTTCCCTCTTTGTCTTTTGTCTCATCATTTTGTTATTCCCTTCCCTTTCTCAGATCAGAAAAACACATATACAAAGCACAGAGCACCAAAATCAAATACAGTGACAACAGGGGATAAACCAAAGGGGGAAAAATGAAAAACAAAATTATGAAGCTGTTTCCCAGAGTATTTTTGTATGTTTTTGATTGTAAAAATGCTGTACAGAGGGGCTACAGTTACATAATCAAGGTAATGGATACATTTCCTATTGAGCATTGTTACCTCCTGCTTTGTTTCCCCCCTACCATCCCTTCTCTCCCACCTCCACCCCCTGCCGAAGATGTAAAATTCATTTTCAAGGTACATCTCATTGTTACAATGGGTCAACAATGGGTATCCTTTTTTCAGCATTTTGTTTTTTCCCTTCCCTCCCTGAATTAGAGAAGTGTATATACAAGATGCTGGGCACCAACATCAAATACAGTTAAAACAGGTATTATACCACGGGGGAGGAACATACAAAGAAGTTAAAAATCACATGGTACATTATAAATACGTTAGAAACAATAGCAAGAAAGAAAAAAAGATATTTGTGTCCCTACTTGGGGTTCATTCCAGAGCATTTTGAAAAATGTGTGGTTACTTGCTTTTTCTCTTTTTTTCTTTTTTCTTTCCCTTCTTTCCTTCCTTCCTTATTTTCTTTTGTTTGGTACTAGAGTTTGAACTCAAGGTATCTTGCTTGCTCAACCTGTCTGCTGTTCTAATACTCTACCACTTGAGTCATATTTCCAGCTCTGATTTTTTTCCTGATTTTTTTTCCTGCTGTTGTTGATTTGTCTTTTGGAGATGAAATCTAGTGGACTTTCTTCACTAGCTGATTTTGAACTACAATCATTCTAACTCAGTCTCCTGAGTAGAGAGAATTATAGGCTTGAGTCAATGGCATGGAACTTATTTTGCTCTTCTTTAAGTAACTTACATCATCCTTTAAAAAAATCTGTACTGAAGGACTTAAAAAAATTGGCTTGGTTTAATTTTAGCTGTAAAAATATTTTCACAAGAGCTCAGAGGATAGGCATCAAACCTGTCTTACAAATAAAGGCTCTAGGGCTGGGAAGGTGGCTCAGTGGTAGAGTGCTTGCCTTGCATGCATAAGGCCCTGGGTTCGATTCCCCAGCACCACATTAGCAGAAAAAACAGGAAGTGGTGTTGTGGCTCAAGTGCTAGAGTGCTAGCCTTGAACTGAAGAGCTGAGGGACAGCACCCAGGCCCAGAGTTCAGGGCCCACAACCGACAAATAAATAAATAAATAAAATAAAGGTTCTAGGACAAAAATAACAGTATCAAACTTGTATTGAATGACTATCATTTTCTATGTCCTGCATAGTGGACATTCTTTGCTTCTCAGTTCCATAATGAGACTAAAAGGTTAAGTTATATACCCATTTTATAGATACACAAGTTGAAATTTAGAGCATTGCTGTTAAGCACCAGGTGGCCAATGAGTGGCTAGATTCATCTTTAAATCTGATATTTCAGTGTGCCTAAGTGTGTATAAGTACCATTTCTTCCTTTATTCCAGAATGAAAAATGGCATCAGACCATCTGTGTTATTTTACCCAGGTACTATAATTTGTTTTAATCAGTATCCAAATGACTGTTGTGGCTACCATATTCCTCAGAGTGCCCATTCGAATATTATTGCTCCTGGCAGTGAAATCCTTAACCATAAAATTCCATAATCCAAATCCCCAAAAAAGCATTTCCCTGATGCCAAAACCTGATAAATAGAATTCAAAATTGAGGCCACAAACCTGTTTCAGGCTCAATGGAGAAATAAGGCTGCCCTTCCAAGATGCTATAAACCAACTTTGCACTGTTTCCATAAACTGGGTCATCGGCGTCAGTAGCTGTGACATTAGTGACAGACGTACCTAATAAAAAGAGAGGGGGAAAAAGTCATAATTAACACGTTATTTTTTGCCAAGAGCTAAATTTTGCCAAGCCTATCATACAGAAATCCATGTGTGGGAATCAAGAGAGAAGGAAAAAAAAAATCAAGGGTGTAGGTCTTTTTAAAAGACTGAGATAAACTGCTTTGTCATAACTTTAACAATACCCAATTCTTGTCAAAGAAAGGGTTCTGCTAGGTTGGAGAGCTGTATAAAGACAGCCTCTTTTGTATCTGTGTTACTTAAGATTCCTTTGTAGCTTTCATTTTAAAGATACCTATTAGATTCATGTGGGTTTCGAGAATATGCAGGGGAAATGATATCAAAGGAATGTGAAATATATGGTTAATAGTATCATATAGCAGGTGATACATAAGTTTTGCAAAAGCACAAGTAAACGTACCTAGAAAAGTCGACTGCTGAATTTTTTTTAAAGCTGTGCAAAAAATATCAAAGGAATATTTTATCCCATCACATTTAATTCCTCAGAATATAAAATTAGATTGGAACCACCAATTAATTTGCATGCTAAGGTAATTAGGCCCACGGATAATAGAATCAAAACCATCTTTTTTTTTCAGATTAGTCTTCTCTTTCATATTCACTTATTCATGGAACAATTGAGTACAGAGAGCTTGCCTGAATTGAAATATGTTTTTTCAGACAAAAATCTCTACAGTGAAGGCATTTACAGTTTGGTGGTGGTAAAATAGAGAAGGAAACAACAGATAAAGACATATAAAGATATATTCAGCTACATAACACATGTAAACAAGATACATAACAAGTGTAATTAACTACATGATCCAGGACAGACAAGATGAAAGCAGAAATTTTCTAAGAGAGGTTGCATTTCAGTTAATTGTTCAAGAAATGTTGAGCTTCACCAGGGTAAGGGCAGAGAAGGAATTCCAAGAAATGAGTCATGCACAAGTAAAGGCAAAGTAGCTTCCTTGGCACATTCTGGAAACTGCAAATCTGAGGAGAATTTGGGAAAGTCTAGAGTGACAAGTAAAGCCACAATCTATGAAACCTGTCTTCCTTCCCAGTATATGTCAGACATACATTTACTACTTGTATTATAGATAGATGCATGGGTAAATTATCTGGTAAATTTAATGAAGAACACCAGGAGATACTAAAAATCACTAATTTGTTATGATGCTGGGATTGGGGCTAAACTGGTTGAGCATCTGCTTAGCAAACACAAGGCCCTGATTCCAATCTCCAGTACAGCAAAATAAATTTTTCCAGCCAGACATCAGTGGCTCAAGCCTGTAATCATAGCTAGATCTGAGGATCACAGTTCAAAATCACCCTGGGTAAGAACATCCCTGAGACCCCTATCTCCAATTAATACCCAGAAAACCAGAAGTGGTGTGGCTCAAGTGGTAGAGAGCTTGCCTTGAGCTGAAGAGGTGAGGGACAGTACCCAGACCCAGAGTTCAAGCCCCATGACCAACAAAAATAAATGAATAAAAATAAAGTTTCCCAATTATATTTTAGAATTAATTCTTAAGGATAAATTCTTGGCAAAGATAATTTTATATACACATATCAAATATATACATATATATTGCATATACATATTTCATATATGTATATATTGCTATGTGCATATATATGTAGCAAATATCTATATTGCTATGTATATATAGCAAATGTGTATATCTACATATCTATCCATATCTTTATATCTATCTATCTATCTATCTATATCTTATTTTCTATCTCTATCTATCCTGATCATTCTTTGTGCAGAAAGAAAAGGAATCAGAGACTGGGCAGGACAACTTGGTCTTTGACATGGTTACAGTGGACCTCAGCTATGCTTTCAATCTAGGCTGCTCAATGATTTAATGGGGCCAGGTCTTCATTGAAGACCTGTGTGATAGGAAATACCCTAGAGAATGGACCATGGCTCTTGGGCCTGATAGCACTCTTCAGTCAAGGGCAACTACAAAGTGAGGACAGTGACCTCAGTCCTGATCACTGAACTGTCCACAGGCAATGCCCCAGCACATGGAGGAAGGTGTGTCGATATTGCAGGAGGAACAGAATGAATCTGAACAGCATACCCGTTGCTGCAATGATGTACACAGACTTGAAGCAGGTTTTTGCCAATCACGATTTTTGAAGATGTTGCCAGTCAAAATCTTTGTAGAACGTTTTGAATTGCAGTTACTATTCAGGAAAAGTGACAATATTTGTTGAGCACTAAACAATCTGATGAAATTAGAGTTTCTACTCAGAATGATGACTTAAAGGCTTTACAGAAAATCTACAGAAATATTGTTCTGAATGCTCTCTTTGTGACAAACTCTGCACACACTTGAAACAGTGTGTATAAATTGAGTGTGTGTGTATGTGTGTGTGTGTGTGTGTGTGTGTGTGTGTGTATGTGTGACTTCATACTCATTTTCATAGCAATTCCTTTCACTGGTGATATTGGCGCATGAAAACACTGATATCTGTAGTTACTTAATTGTTTTACAGCATCAAGAAGAATTTGGGTTAAAAATCTTCTCAAAAAGAGAACAATAAGGAGAAATGTGCCCACATAATGTTAAAAGATAGGGAACAAAATTAGTCATCCAAAGGAATGCTAGAAATTTCAACTACGAATAAAATATGGGATCCTTCGAGTGCCTGAATTGTGAGCCTTGGCTCCATACCGTTGGAACATAGAGACACTGTTTCAGAGAAAGCGTATTCTCATGTATTTCAGAGTTCTTTCAGACTGGAGAGACAGGAGTGCACCACTGGGCCAAAGTTTGTGTGAGGTGTATAGTCTGCTATTTTTTTGTCTAGTATGTTTACTCTGATGCTTCAGAAATAAATTCTACCTCCCCAAGTTAAGTACAATACTATCATCAAGAAATAAAGTCAAAGCCACAAAAGGAAGTTACAGTGATGAGTATAGATATTCATTTCCAGTCAAAGCCCCATCCCTGGAAAATGAACAAGTCATAAACTTCTGTCAGTACCAAAATTACACTCTACACAGAAACTTAAATGAAGGGATATTTATGGAGAACAAATAAGTGCAACTATTTCCTGAAGGACCATGCTGTAATAGAAATTGTAGAAATGTAGGAGAGGTGTGTGTTGACAAAGTAGTGGGAAACATGTTAATGGTTTTGAATGTGGAATCATTTCATTGTTTTCTAAAGCACTTATCTCTAACTCTTTGGGCAAATCACTTAACCTTAGTCTCAGGCTAAAATCTACAATATACACATTAGAGTGAATGTGAGTGATAAAGGCAATGATGGATGTGGGTTCCTAATACAGAAACGATCACATGAGAATCTTGAGTACCACCCTGCCTTGGATTGGACCTTAGCTTTGAAAAATAGATCCCTCAGGTCTGTCCCAGAATGATAAGATACAGAAAGACACAGAATACTTTAAAAAAAAGACCACAAACTTCAATTCCACTGGAAATCTTCCAGGAATCCCAATGTAAAGTGATCATTCAAAAGTGTGTGTGGTAGGTAACAAACTTTAACAAAAGTTAGCTCATCTCTACTCCTAGGAACTGTTCTTTTTTTGATTACTTGGTGTGGGTGGGGAGAGGGGACGCTTTCATATTTGTTTGCAAAGTGAAGCATTTTTTTTAGGAAATTAATCTTGTCTAAAGAGTCCTGAAAAACCGTTTCAGGGTAATTATAAGATGAGAAATGCGTTCTTGGATTTTGATTATTTCAAGAATAGCGATAATTATTCTATTTCTGTCTTATTGTAAGTTGATCTGATCTTGTCCTGAGAGCACACCTTGCCAGCACTGACACTGGCACACGGGCCCAGGGTTCTGCCATCTGCATGCTCCATGGTTCTGTCCTCTCATGAGCGAAGATGCTCATTTGTACTGTGAAAACCTCAGTATTTCATGGGAAGATCCAGTATGGCTTTAGGAAATTACAAGAAGAGTGAATACCGAGAAGCTGCAATGTATTTATGGGGAAGAGTAATGAGAGGGGGGGGACACAAAAGAAGGGAGGAAGGATGAGCAAACGCAGTCACTACATTCGGTGTAAATTATGTCAAAACTGAACTTGAGGGCAGGGATGGGAGGGGGGTGAAATGGGAGGGATTGATCTTGACATGGGTCAAGATGCACCACACTCAGAACCTGAAATATCAAACTGTTACCTCTCTGTACAACTATTCAATAATAATAACACTGATGATGATGATGATGATGAGTGGCTTACACCTGGAACCATAGCTACTCAGGAGGATAAGATCCAGAGGATCATGGTGCAAGCCAATACCGTAGTAAAGCCTAAGATATTTGATCTCTAAAGTAACCAGCAAAAAGCAGGGCTGAAAGTGTGGCTCAACTGGCAGTATGCCAGACAAGCAAGCAAGTTGAGTAAGTGTAAAATCCTGAGTTGTAACCCCAGTATCATCAAAGAAGTGGGGAGTAGAGGGGACTGAAAGGGGAAAAAATGGAGTCAACTCTGTAGTTCCAGGTGGTGGAACATTAGTTTCATAATCCATCTCCACATTTTACTAACTTTCACATTTGTGGTAAATTTTATTAAGCTTTGATTCACTAGTATGGACAAAGAAAGTTACTGGTACATCATGGTTTTGTTGAGATAATTAAAGGTGATCCATGCAACATAGAAGGAAAAGAAGTTTTGACATTTGATATTTCTCAGAACTTCTGTCATTCTTATAACAATAGGTTATGTATTCACACAGCTGAGACCGAATAAAAAACTATTTTAAATTTTCATTGGTGATAAGTATTTTAATTTATATAATTAGGTGACTTTTTTGCTAATGTTTTTAATAATAATACATTTCCATAAAAGACAGAAATAAAGACACTGTAGATATAACTGTATAAAGGTTAGGTAGGCAAAATAAATTCCTATGTTTTGTGGCATAGCAGGGTGTATATAATTAACCATAATGCCTTAAATCTCAAAATAATTAGAACACAGAATTTAACACGTATCCACGTTAAT